CCCGGCATGGTAAATATAAAGGGGCTGAACCTTGTTTTATTTTACCCAATGCCACAAATCCTATTGCCTACTCTTAAATTAGCATTACCAACGGCTAACTCGAACCCCATATTACTATCTACAGATGTTTCTTCCCCGGATGGAGCTGAGACAGTGCTATCTCCATACAACACTCTCTGGACCTTACGCTCTAGCTCCACCTGCTGTTCTTGTTCGTCATTACACCTAAAATTTCCCTCCAAATTTACCAAAGACCTAACTGAGTACACTCTTCCTCCTCTACACAGAGTCACATTCTCCTCAGTCTCTGGCAAAAGTTTTACCACAAACTTAGTTCTAGGGAAGTATGGTTTCAGTCTGTTGATGTGCAACTTCTTGCATCTCCGACCTCCGCCATCTTCTGTCACTACATAAGTCACCTCAGAGTCTTTTGAAACTATGGAAAACGGTCCTTCCCAAGCCATGTCCAACTTCTTCTTGGCTCTGGGCTTTAAGACCAACACTTTGTCTCCCACGGCAAAGCTTCTGTGCCTAGCTTTCAAGTCAGCATAGTCTTTTTGTCGGCTTTGAGCTGCTGTCAAGCTCTCAGCGGCACAGTCTCGGATCAAAGTCAAATGTCTCTGTAGATCTTCGATGTACTCAACCACGTCCTTCTCTGGAATCTTCTCACGTCCGATCCACGCCTCTCTCACGATGTCCAAAGGTCCACGCAGGGTTCGGCCATACAGCAGTTGGAACGAGCTGTATCCGGTACTCTCTTGTGGCACCTCACAATAGGCAAACAGGAAATGCTGAATTCTTCTGTCCCAATCGTTGGGGTTCCGATGTACATAGGTTTTCAGCATGTGGTTCAACATCGCATTGAATCTCTCTGTCAGGCCATTCGACTGTGGATGGTATGGAGTCGTTGTCACGTGTTGAATCCCACAGGAACGCAGCATCTCTTTCATTAACACCGACATGAAAGATGTTCCCAAATCTGTCACGATAGATTTAGGGAACCCCACACGCGCAAACAATGTCAGGAGTGCGTGTGTCACAGTCTTGGTGTCAATTTCCTTCAGGGGAATTGCCTCAGGATATCTGGTCACGAAGTCCACCGCTGTGAGGATGTAATGGTGTCCATCCTTGGTCACAGGTGACATCGGACCAAGAATATCTATCCCCACTTTCTCGAAAGGAATAGACACAACAGGAATAGGCTGCAGCAGTCCCTTGGTTTTGTCATTTGCCTTGCCCACAAACTGACAGGATTGACAGGATCTGCAATAGGTGGCAATGTCCTGTCCCATACGGGGCCAAAAGAACCAGCTCTGCACTCTATCCTTTGTCTTCTTGACACCCAAATGACCACTGAATGGAGTGTCATGGGCCATTTTCAGGATCTTTTCCCTGTACTTTGGAGGCACTACTAACTGTGTAACTACCTCATACAATCCTGGGCCCTTTTGATGCCTGACCATCCTAAATAACTTGTTATCTATATTTCTGAAGATAACTGGTTTGGTTTCAGTGGGTTCAGTTTCTTCAGTTTCTACTGATTCCCACAGGCCCTTTAAATCTTCAGCCTGTTGCTGTTCCTTCAGGAACTCAGCTGGCTGACTAGATGGCAACATTACAGGGAACTCCTCTATGTTGTTACAGTCTGTGCTATGAGCCATTTCTGAGGTGGATTTTCTTTCCTCAGAATTTCCCGCTCTTTCTTTCTGGCTTCTAGTCACAGCATTGATCTTCAGACTATGTTCTGACAGATCGTTCCCAATTAACACAGGGACCTCCAAGTCTGACAAAATTCCTACTTTTCATTTCCCACAGAAAGTTTTGTATTGGACTGGGATCTCTGCTACATCATCCTCAAAGCTGGGACCAGTTATTCCTTTTAGTGTCCACTTCGTTCCTGTCACTATCTGTTCTTTTCCCACTACTTGAGGGTGCACCAAAGACACCTCAGTGCCTGTGTCCCTCAGTCCCATTAGCTTTTGATCATTAACTTGGACCTCTTCCAAGTATTCCTTGCTCACACCACGGCCCATACTCCATACCCTCATTATTTTGATGGGCTCTACCTCAGGAGTAGGTTCTTCAGCTTGTGGTTGAGTCTTTTTTACTACTTTTACAAATTTTGGCGGGCTTACAGCTCTTTCCTTTGATAGCTTTGGGCATGAGGTTCTTACATGTCCCTCCTGATTGCAGAGGTAACACACAATCCGACGTGGCACAAACTTAGAGCTGGCATCCCCTTTCTTGGCTCCCTGACCATCCTTGTCAATTCTACCCTTTGGGACCCACTCCTTCTGCTTCTTGAACAATGGAGAACCCATCTCAAAGTCTCCCTCCATCTCGTCCAACACTGAAGCACACTCTGCCACAGTCTGGACCTTCTTATCCTTGATGAACCACATCAACTGTGCTGGGACCAGTTTGTAGAACTGCTCCAGACAGATCAAGTGTCTCAATGCCTCAAAGGTGGTCACCTTACTACCCTCCAGCCATCGTATCAGAGCCTTTTCAATCCTAGCCCCCACTTGGGAAAATGTCTCCCCAGGCTTCCTCTTAATATCTCTGAAGGTCTTTCGGCTTTGTTCTGGGGTTAGACCAAACCGAACCTTCACTCTCTCCTTAAACATCGTGTAGTTGGACCATTCTTGAGCCGGCAAGCTAGCATAAACTTCACTCAGCTCTCCAGAGATTAGTGGTCTTATATGTGCCATTCTCTTTGCTTCAGGCACATTAAAGTCACCACATGCTCTCTCAAAACTGGCGAGAAAACTCTCGACGCAATCGCCCTTTGTATATTTGGGAAAGTGTTTTATATATGGAGCTATGGGTTCCGCAGGGATTGCACTAGGGTTGGATGTGGGTTGTCTATCTCGCACTTGGAACTCCATCATCCTTTACTCATGTTTCATTCTCTCTGCCTCATGTTTCATTCTCTCTCTTTCTCTTTCAATCTCTAGTTGTCTTTCTTTCTCTCTTTCCCTAGCTTCAAACCCCATTCTTTCCCTTTCCCTCTCAGCCTCAAGCTGCATCCTTTTAAATTCCATTTCTAGCCTCAACTTTTCAATTTCTAAAGAGGCAGCCACGATCCCTGGGCTTTCTCCTCTTTCTTCAGTCTCAGTCTCCATTATAGCTTCCTCCTGTCCCTCTCCTTGTGTGTGAACCACAGGAGCCTTTTTGTGTTTAGGAGGCGCCATGTTGCTGTATAATGGTGTATTTAAGCAGTTTCTGAGGTAAAACTTCTTCAGAAACGCTTTGGCTAAAACTTTTACCTCACAAAATCACACTAACGCACCGGATTTAGCCTTAAAGTAACGTATCCCGCCGCTGGACACCAGTGTAATAAAGATCGACGACACTTGGGCAGGGGGGAACAAGCAATCCTACCGCTGCCACCAGTGTGATAAAGATCAACGTAATCTTGGCGGGGGGGGGGGGACCAATCTCACCACTACCCACCAATATAAAGGGATAAACGTAAACCTTTGGCAGGGTGGACACAACAATCCCAACCTCTGGTCACCAGTTCAGCCGGACACTACTTTAACAAGGATGAATGACTGTGACAAAGGGGGAAAGACTCTCTTATCCCTCCTCAGTAATATTGTTGAGTGACCAACTGTGCTAATGATGTTAATTAGGTAGATTCGCCACCACCACCTCAATATATGTCTGAGGAAAACATGAGTGAGAATGTGAAATAGGTAAAGTTTGTTCAAGCCTTTGTTCTTCTTTAATGACTGCTTCTTTCGCTGACTGGACTGAAATTGAGTTATCTTTAGACTTGCTGAGATCTAATGTATAGGACAGACCGAGGCAGACACCAGTTTAAGATGAAAATTAGAAACAGGTTTATTTAAACTTAGTCAACAAATCAACTCTTAATAAGAGTGGTACAAAAGTGTAATGTGGTTACTTGAGGCTTAGCTGGTTAGACAAGCAGTCTTTCTTTTAAGACTAAAACTTTTGTTTCCTGTGAGTTCCTTGCTTCACACTGGCCCTTACACTGACACAGTGTGTCCCTGAGAACAGCCCACTGACTGCCTCACAGAGCAAAATAGGCTTTCCTTCACTGACCCTTCTAAGTACAGTGAACCAGGAACCTTTGCCTTTCCTATGCTCTAACCCTCAAGGCTCACTTCAAAAGTTCTCCCTGTCTAAATTCTTCACAGCTCCCTCTTCCTAACTATCCTTCTACACTCTTCAATGTTTTTAAAGCTCTTCTTTCCAGCTTGTCAAAAAGACACAGCCTTTTTTCCTCTCAAACCTAACTCCTCCCCTGACTGCTCTAGCCAATCAAGAGTCGGCTGACTCCTCCCTCTTGCCTCTTAGCTCTCCTGCCTATCTCTCAACATGTCAGCCACTGACTTTCCAGGCTTCGGCCTTCCTGGCAAAAGGTTAGATTCATGACAGAGCCCTCGTTGGCACAGTGGGTTAAACCGCTGAGCTGCTAAACTTGTTGACTGAAAGGTCACAGGTTTGAATGCAGGGAGCAGCGTGAGCTCCCGCTGTCAGCCCCAGCTTCTGCCAACCTAGCATTTTATAACATGGGAATGTGAGTAGATCAATAGGTACTGCTCCAGCAGGAAGGTAACGGCTCTCCATGCAGTCATGCTGGCCACATTACCTTGGAGGTGTCTACGGACAACACTGGCTCTTTGGCTTAGAAATGGAGATGAGCACCAACCCCCAGAGTCGGACACAACTGGACTTAATGGCAGGGGAAAATGGCAGGGGAAAACTTTTACCTTTACCTTACATAAACACAGAAATGGAAATGTGCGATTCATGCTCAAACATTTGAGACATCCACTATAGATCATTTTTCATACAATTTGCTATATACTTCGATAGAAAAAAACAATATGGATTAAAGTAAGATTGAGACATTGAGATGCCTAGAAACAGTCCAAAACGATTTTCTTTTTTTCTTTGTCTTGATAGTCTTTTATTTATAAAGTCTTTCTGGGTGAATTTTATAAAACTTTGTTTTGTTTTCACAGGGTTCCTAAAAATAGAAAACTGGCCTGAAGTGAAATTAGGGGAAGCTGGGAATTTGGCAGCATTCCCCCATCTCCCGGAGTAAGTAAATTATTGAAATTATATCTCGATTGCATAATTACAACAGAAATGATAGGTTAAAAGCAATGGAGCTTAAAACTCTTTAACATTATTGTAATATGCACGATGTCTTCTGTGCTTGATCATGTTAAAACTATTAGTCCTCATCACTGGGAATTATCAAGCGAATTTCAAGTTTAATGAAATGGAGCTTTGGTATTTTATTTATTTATTTTGCATAATTTCTAGACCACTTGTCATAAAATAAAGCCTGAGTGGTATTTAGTATTAAACATCTGTGGCCTTGAACAGCAAACAACTACACTATATTCATAAAAGCCAGAATCAAAAGCTAGGGATTGCCTGGGTAATCAAATATTTCTTAAGGATGCACCTAAAATACTGACAGGATAATTCCTTCTGTATTACAATGGAGAGCCATTCTAAATTGCATGCCCAAATGGCACCAATAGTATGTAATCGGTGAGTTTGTTTAAAAGTAATGCTAAAGTATGGTTAATTATGACTGTGGAAGAACCTTGTGTAATAAACCAGGATTACAAATTAGGATAAAAAGAGACTAAAGACACTAGATTTTATTTTATTTTCGATGCTAAGCAAGATTAGCTCTGGTTAGTATTTGAATGGGAGGCCACCAGGTAGTGCAGGCTATATTTCAGAGGAAGGAAATGGCAAACTACCTCTGAGTATTGATAGCTGGGACCCAGTGCTGGTAGCGCTATGCTGGTTGCGTAGTGTGGCTCAGAATTAGAGAAGGGAACACGTGCACCAGACACAGCACCACCTGTCTGGCGCAGAGGCCTCACACAGTGAGAGACACAGCTACGACTGAGTCAACAAGGTCGTTTGGGGGGGGGGGGGGGGGGGGGGGAGAGAGAGAGAGAGAGAGAGCCAAGCATACTGATGTAGGCTATCTGGAGATATTCAAAAATGTTGTTGCATTGGAAGGAAGGATAAAAAGGAGGGGAGAAGTATGAGCAGTGGTGAAAAAAGAATCAAACCCAGTCACTCTTACATTACTTCATTGGTATCCTGCCACAGCTGCATCTCTCACTGGGTCTGCTGTCTCTCGCACGTGTTCCTTTCTCTAATTCAGAGCTGCATTGCGCAACCAGCGTAGCTCTACCAGCACTGTGTCCCAGCTATCATACTTTTACCAATTGTGGAATATTTTCTGATCTGCCATTATAATTCCTATGTGGAATAATGATTGAACCAGACTGAACCCACCACTATTTACCATGTGTGGAAACTACATTTCAAATCCCAATCTTGGCTGTTCATCTGGCTCACATGCTAACAAAACCAAGTAGCTTTTCAGTCTTCCTAAGAGTATTGCTGTCATCAGTATCCCCACTAGTTCCATATCTTTTTAGTCTCCATTTCTGTTCCTCCTGGCTCTTAGGCTCTACATCCTATAACTCTTATAGTTGTGACCAGACAAAAACTGATTCATGTTATGAAAAAGAAGGCTATATTCCCTTAAGTGCAGTTATCCCATCCCAAGTTTATCCTAAAGTTGGTACAGAGTCTCCTTTTTCTGGGTTTTTTTCTTCTTTTTTCTTTTTTTGGCCATAGGAGATCTCTAGGGAAATGAGCAAGATGCTGCAGGATTCACTTTGTTGTGCCTGACTTCTAGCCCAGGAGCTGCTTCACAATTGGCAGAGTCAGACCCGTAGCCAGGATTTTGATTCGGGGGGGGGGGGGGGGGGGGGGGGGGGGTGAGTCTGAGTGGAAGAGGGTCTACCCTAGCAAACCTTTTATATCGTTACCCCGAATACCCCCATGCGTATGAGATATATTGAGCATGGTGATCAGATCATGGTATGAATAAACATAACAGTTTAAATAATGTACCAGAAAGGCATTTTTGCAGAACACCATGAGAATTTCAGGGGGGGCTGAAACCCCCAAAGCCCCCCCCCCCACTGACTACATGCCTGAGCAGAGTGAAGTACAAGATTGATGACATGGCTAGAGAAGGAGGAACTGAAGGAAAAGAAGGAGGTGCCTAGAGGGCCATGAGGCCAGGAATAGCAGAGTGTAGGAAAAGTGCAGAGATGGAAGGAGTGGGGGTGCATGCTGGCCCGGCTTTCCTTCATGCTTCATAACTGAGAACTTCCCTTGGGTGGCTGACTAGGGGAGAGGAACTTCGGGCCACTCTTATTTGCCTCCGCAGACCTGAGCCAGCCCACAGGAAAAGGCACAAAGGCAGTGGCAGTTCCTCTTGTTGCACAACGTTTCACGGCAGCAGCAATTATAACAAAATAGAGAACTACTCCTACTCTTGTTCCTCATCTTTGGTGGTGACCAGCTCCATATTTTGTTCCAGCTTCTCTGGCCTGGTGGTGGGGCTCAGATGTGGAAGATAGGTCAGGAGGCCTAACTTGAACTCTTCCTCGTCCACCTCCTTTTTGATGCAGTTTCCTCACCTTTGCCTTCACTGCCTTCTTGTGCATGGAAAGTGGTGTGGACTGCCCTCTCTAGTCTAATAATAATAATAATAATATATTCAACTGAATAATATACTGGCAATAGGCCGACCAGAAATTAACCTTGGTGGGCACTGCTTTCACTTCCAGTCCATGGATTGCTTGGAAAGAAATCAGGCTAGATGAATCAGCAGACAGCTTGAATTTTAAATTCAGTAAAAGGTTATAGTTTGAAACAATGGTTCATGCTCCTTGAGTAAATGTGTCATTTTTTGCCTGTGCAGCTTATTCTGCAGATGTATGTCAGTTTCTCCAAGTTCAATTAATGAGGCTTATTCCAAGGTAATTGTGCATACATTTCAACATTAGTTTTATTTGTTATATTTATTCACTTGGGACAAAAATTATTCTGGATTTTGGATTATATAGGGTTTTGGAATACAGATTATACACACACACACATTAGGATTGCACAACCTGCAAGCCTCCAGGTGTTTTGGCCTCCAACTCTCAGAAGCTCCAGCCAGCTTGTCCAGTAGCCAAGAACTCTGGGATCTGGAGGCCAAAACAGCTGGAGGACCACAGGTTGTGCAGGCCTGATATACATACTGAGATATCTTGGAGATAGGACTGAGATCTAAACATGACATTCATTTATGTTTACTATGCATCTTATACACATAACATGAAGATAATTTTACACAATCTTTTACGTAATGTTGTGTACAAAATCTTATGTACAGAAATTATCAGAAAGCAATGTTATCATACATTCATAAAGCCACATGTGGATGATTTTGGAATATTTTGGATTTTGGAAGTCCATATAAGGGGTGTTAAATAATAAAAGTAATATTTTATTTATATTCCCTCCTTCTTCCCGAAGAGACTCAGAGCAGACTATAACATATAAACAGACACAGGCAAACATTCAAGGCCTTGTTACAATGAAATACAATGACACACAAATACACAGACAAAGGCAAAGGCTTCTCCATTCATTTCTGGCTGTGGAGATGGAGCTCATCTCCAGCTCTGGAGAAGGTGCTCATTTCCATGTCTAAGCCGAGGAGCCTGCTTTGTCCATTGACACCTCCTGGTCATGTGGCCGGCATGACTGCATGGAGTGTCTTTTTGCCTTTCCCACTGAAGTGGTACCTATTGATCTACTCACATTTACATGTTTTTGAACTGCTAGGTTGGCAGGAGCTAGGTCTAACAGCAGGAGCTCACCCCATCCCATGAATTCGAACTCCTAATCTTCAGGTCAGCAGTTCAATAGCACAAGGGTTTAACCCATTGCGCCACTGTGGCCCCTTCTTAAATGGTACTTGTTACCCATTAGAAAACAATTTGTTCTGACCTACTTTCAAGTCAAATTCGGACTAATGATTACCTGATCATAGTGCTTCATTGGTGAAATTTGTTGAGAGAGAAGTTGCGGAAGTGTAACCTGACCAGGTTCACTCAGCAGTTTCTCTGGCTGAGTAAGGGTGCAGACTGTGCTCTTCCAGACTATTAGTTCAACATCTGTACTACCTACCATGCCGTTTCTCAACACAGTATAATGAAAAAAAATCACACATACACTATCACTGCTATAGCTCTGCAACATTGTGATAAACCAGAAGAGTAAAACCACAGTTGTTTTAAATGTGATGCCATTTGAACAAACCAAGATTTCCAAACCAGTTAATTTTGTAATCAAACGTAACTTGCAAAAATAATACAGGCTTTGATTCTGGCTTTTATGTATCTTTTTATGTATAAATATGTATCAGAATATTAATTAGGGTGGTTTCACAAGTATTTCTTTAACCTTTTGATGCTACCTGTTAAAAATTGTCCCTGCAAATATTGGTCGCAAATATTTAAACCTTAGTATTTAACGTATTCATATTAAAGGTGGCAGATAGCCATTATAATAGATTGTTTTTGTTTGTTACTGGAAGTTTTTGTGTACTTTTTTTAATTTTGGAGGCAGGGAATCCATGCATGGTGTTGGTGTGTAAATATATAGGCCTCCTACTTTACAAGGTTGTAAACATGATAATTGATTGAGACTACTAATCAATCAAAGTAGACATGCTTCAAAGTGCAGTCTGATATTTTTACAAGCTTCTTCAGAGTTTGGGTGTTTTCGGGTGATTCCTGATGTCTAGAAAGCGTCTTTTTATGATGACGAGGATGCCATATAGTTGTGAACGTGGAATAGTTGTAATATTTCTGTAAGCCTTGTTTGATTCAGCTCAAAACCTGTTGCTGTAGAAGGCTTCTTTTTCCTTCCATGCACACAGAGAATATTTGTAGCTGAGAACAGGTGTGGATTTTTCTCTCTCTAATGAAGCAAATTAAAAAGTGGTTGCAGTTAATGAGATATTGAATGGTATTCCTGACTAAAAGGTAGTAAAAAGAGGAAGAAGGTGATACCATATAAAAATAGTATTTTTTTCCAAGTGATTGGAAGAGATGTTATATATATGTGTGTGTGTGTGATAGGAAAAAAGCCTTATTACTGTGGGGTCAGACTCAATGTGTGTGTTTGCTAGCTCTTTGATATTTAGAAAG